CACATCCCTTTTGCTGTGTTTCCTCCAAATAGTAAAATCCTTAGCAAGGACTGGGTATGAATGACTTCCCAAAATATTAATGTTTAAATGAAAATTACCGTTGGTTAAATTCTTTGTTCTTTGCATCTTAGCTAACTTGTGCATTCTTGGGGGTGGAGGGAAGGCTAAACTGTCTGAGCTACTGGTGTAAGTTTACTAGTGTTAGTATGGTGGTGACTCTGGTCCACGGGGCCATGTGATCACACAGTGGGGGAGCCTCAGACTGCAAGGCTACTGGCTTGACAGGCTGGGAGCTGGAAAGGGTAGGCTTGGCAGGTCTGTGGTTTGCAGGGTTGACCTTCACCGTGGAGTTAGCCTCCTCCCATCCCCCTCCCTTTCTCCAGGTACCTGTGGAAAATGAAGGCTGTGATAAGTGTTTGCCAAGCAGGGTGCAGGTAAGGGAGGTATGGGCCGGTGGAGGCTGGCAGGGCACTGGGCTGCCTGTGGATTTTCCTCCTGACCTAGCAAGGCCCTGGGGCTCCCTTCTCCTGGGAGCACTGTTGAGGGTGCTGGGCAGCTAATGGGTTCAGGAAGGTCAGCCTGGCCTTAGGGAAGGCCTCTGCAGACCTTTTTGTCTGAGCACCCTAGGAAGCGAACTTGACATGCAGATCTGCAAGACTGGTGTCTCTAAGTAGGGACTTCCCAAGGTCATGGTCAGAATTGGGAACACTTCAGTACATGTTCGCATGTCACCCTCTGGAAGCTGAGCAATGTATTGTGTGCTAGATAAATGCATCTCAAATCTAGGTCTAGTCCTTCCTATCCAATAGTGTCATCAAGCAGGTTGCTTCAGAAACTGCTGGCAACCATCCTCAGGCAACAGGGAGCTAAGACTCCATTCTTGTCATTTCAGCCTATGTCAGAGCTTCCTCAAGGAATGTCAGAGCCCTGCCCTGACCCCAGGAAAGTGATGCCACCTCAGTGACACCCCCTAGTGATTCAGAGGAATGGCTCTGCACACAAGACTAAAGAAGTGGGTGTAGAAAAGATGGGTTGGTTGGCACAATTTGTCTCTTCTCTTTGGCATAGGGCTGGACTGTCCCTCAGTGAAGGTCTCTATTCTGTCTGAGGGTTCGTGGAGCTGAGATAGGCCCTCCAGGATTGGCTAGTGAGCCCTGGGGGCTCTAGGATGGGTCAGCTTTGCTGTGTGGTTTTAGGCATAGCGTGCACCAGACCTGACCTTTGACCCAAGGGTGCTGCTGTCTGCATCAGAGGATTTGGGCTGGTCCACGACTTGGGGAGGCCTGGGCTGTGCCTTGAGAGGAAGCTGAGTGACCCGCACTTGCTGGGCTGGGGCTGTGGATTCACATGGGCACGCAACTCTCTGTGATCCCCAAAGATGACCTTGAGGAGTGCTGGGATTTGCTTCAGATTTTTTCTTGTTTGTTTTTGTGGTGGGAGTGCTGGGGCTGGAGCTCAGGGATTGGGCTCCATCCCTAACTTTTTCACTCAAGGCTGGCACTTTACCACTTGATCCACAACCTCACTTGCAGCTCTGTAGTGGTTAACTGGAGATAAGAGTCTCATATGACTTTTCTGCCTGGGCTGACTTTGAACCTTGATCCCCAGATTTCAGCCTCCTGAGTAGCTAGGATTACAGGCGTGAGTCACTGATAGTTGTTTGGCTTTTGCTTTAGTCCTAAGTGGGCTGAGTCTTTTCTTTCTGTGCTCATTTCTTTATAGAGAAGTTATGTGCAGCCTTCCTTTGGTCAGTGTCAGAGAGGAGATGAGCTCCCATGGACTCTTGCAGGCCACCTACATGAAGTTAAACTCTTTCTGACTTTGTACCAGTCAGGCTTAGACTTCTAGTGGTGATAGCTGAGTATTTCTTCTTTTTGGCTCTTACCTTGGAAATTATGCTGTCCCTGATTCAGTTTGTATGCCATTTGGCATACACACCCTCTATTAGACTGTGTGTAGTGTGACGCTGAATTCAGAGGATATTGGAACAGGACAGACTTTGTCTCTGTTTGACCTATCTACTCACCTTTTTTTTTTTTTTTTTCTGATCCTGGGGCTTGAACTCAGGGCCTGGGTAATATCCCTGAACCTCTTTGTGCTCAAGGCTAGCACTCTACCACTTGAACCACAGCACCACTTCTGTTTTCCGAGTAGTTTACTGGTGATAAGAGTCACACGGACTTTTCCTGCCTGCCTGGCTTTGAACTGCCATCCTCAGATCTCAGCTTCCTGAGTAGCGAGGATTACAGTAGTGAGTCCTTGATGACCGGATTCTCCTCACTTTTAAGCTAAGAAACAAGCCCTGTATTTCCTCATGGTCCCTTGACCCTCCTGCCTCCAGAGACCTTCAAGGGAGAGTGCCCCCTGTCACACCGTTGCCCCTGCCATGCTGGCACTGGAACTCGACAGTCACAGTGTTTGTGCAGATGTCACCTTGGTGTGAGGGGCTAGGTGAGAATAAAGTTTGACCAATGAGCTGTTACAATGCTTGTTGGTAAGTTCTATGAAAGTAAAACTGCATGCATGATGTAAATCCTGAAACTACTAGATACTGGAAGAAATTGAAAAAGAGTGTCAGTCTATTTTCTGATGGACAATGAGTATCAGTCCATTTTTCTTTTGCTCAGTACAGCTGACTGAGACTCTTGGTAAGGTGAGAGTTGTATGAGGAATGATTCTGCTTTGATGTTTAGCCTTACCAGTTCAGATAGATCAACTCAGCCAAAATAAGCCTCTGCTGCAATCACTTGTCTGCCCCCTCCTCTTCCTCCTTCTTTTCTGTTGTAGTTTGTGGTTTGGACCCACAGCTTCATATTTACCAGACAGGTGCTTTACCACTTGAGCCACACCCCAAGCCCTCTTGTTTGCTTACTTGGAGCTCATTTCTGTGCATTCATTTGGGCCTGTTGACTCTTACATTATCAAACAATAGTATAAAAGATAGTGTATACTTAGCTTAAAATTCAGTGGATACATAGTAACTGTCAAACCCTTGGAACAAGTGTGGAGAATCCATATTCCCTCCAAACTGCCTGCTTTATACAACGGGGAAGCTGATATTCATGAGGATGGTGGCTCAAGCACAAACATGAATGCAGTTTCGGAGCTGGAGAGGCAGATGTGGACTTGCGTGTGCTCCCACACATTCATGCGTCCATCTTGCAGTTATGAAGGGAATCCCACAGGCCTGGTCTCCAGAAAGGCAATGACCGCCATCACCTGGTTAGCTGGAAACACAACATGGTCTGCCCCTACTCGACCCTGGTGCCCAGTACAGAGAAAATTCAGGAACTTTACTGTGTCTCACACCTGGGCCAGACAGACAGGAGCAGAAGGTGGGAAAGAGCCCGAGGGTGGCATGGGGACAGTGGTCCAGAAGTGTGGCTAGATCACAGCTGCAGAGAAGATGGGGGTGTTCAGGTCATTGGGTCTCTCTGTCCCCCTTTTCTCTCCTGTCCTGTATCATGGCAGTTTGAACACCCTCAGAAAATTATGCCAAAGGGTCTAGAAAACGGAAGTATGTTAAAGAAAACACACACACACACACACACACACACACACACACACACACACACACGTGCGCGCCAAATTTCAGTAACTTTGGATTGCAAATGTAGATAGATATATTTAATGTTCAAACAAAATATTCAGTCTGATATAATAATTGTTTGGAAATGGAAAAATATTTTGGATGTTTATATGAGTGCTGTCCCCTCACCCCGTGTGTGTGTGTGTGTGTGTGTGTGTGTCTGTCTGTCTGTCTGTCTGTACATGTGCACACACGCGTACGCCAGTCCCAGGGCTTGAGCTCAGGGCCTGGATACTGTCCCTGTGCTTTTGTACTCAAGGCTAGTGCACTACCACTTGACCCACAGCTCCACTTCTGGCTTTTTGGTGGTTAGTAATTGTCTCATGGGCTTTTTTGCCCAGGAATGGCTTTGAACCACAATCCTCAAATCTCAGCCTCTTGAGCAGCTAGGATTACGGGCATGAGCCTGTAATATCATTTTGAAGTCTACTAGTTTAAGTCTGGAGGGACCTCAGGATCTGTCTGGCACAGCTTTGAGGGCACAGGCAGGGTGGGCAGAGGTCAGCATGGGTTCAGAGGTCAGGTGGTAGAATGTGAGGCAGAAGGACTTCCCTGACCAGGTTTGGCCAGTGGTAGCTGTGGACTTCTGGTGTGGGGCAGAGCTCCATTGATCCTGGGAAACATCCCAGCAAGCCCACTGGGACAGCACTGGCTCAGACACTGGCTCATTTGGAAGGGAGGGATCCTGGTGAGGAACAGCAGGGCTCACACCGGGAAAAGGAGTAAAGAGAATGGTCACGTGACTTCTCCTTGATGTACAGCACTGAGTGGGTGTATGGGGGACTCCAGGTGAGCCTCTTGAGGTTTTGGTGCCCATGTGAAGTTTTGCCTTGGGAAGGATTTAGGAAAAAAAACCATCTTGTTGGTCCCTGAATTTGCTGTGCAGTTTATTTTCTGTTCCGTGGGGCTCCCACGAGCACATCAGGGTGTGTATTGCTTTTGGGGTCTCTGTGGGCCAGTGCCAGTGGACTGCAGACTGGACCGAGAGTGCTGTGACCTCTTGCCTGGCTCTGTTCCCCCTTGGTGTGGTTGCCTGATGAGAGCTGGAAGATGACTCCAGATTGTGGTGCGCCCCCTCCTCCCCGCCCCCCTTACCTTCCTCTGAGTAGCATCAGACATGGTTGTCACAGGCGACCTGTGGGTGGCTCCCATGCAGGCTTTGGTAGCACTGAGCCTGTGCTTGTCCAGCCCTGGTGGGAGGGCGGCCTTGCTGTCTCCCATGGTGTTCTATCTTGCTGCTTGTGGGTGAGTTAGGTGATCTGACTTCCCCAGGTGATAAAGTTGGCCAGCAGTGACAATGTTTGACTTCCCATTGATGATTAAGCTGTGGAAACTGTCATCACGCCCCCCTGTCGTCACCCCTCTCCCCGTCCCCGCAGGTGTCCTGTGATTTGTGTCTTGTTTTCTGCAGGTTCCTGGGAGTTCCACTCTGTCCTCAGCTCTCCACTGTGATAAGCCTCCACGGTGAGTGCTCGTGGGTAGCCATCTCCCCGGAGAGGGTAAGACCTGACCAGTGTGTCATTCCATGGTGATCTCTTCCTCTTCCTCCTCCCCCTTTTCTTTTTCCCTCCTTCTTCCTCTGTGCCCCCTCCTCTTCTTTTTTCTTTTTCTTCCCTCTCCACCTCTTTCTCCTCTCCCCTTGCCTCACGTTTCCCCTCTTCCTTCTCCTCCCCTTCCTCCCTTTCCTCCCCTTCCTTCCGTTCTTCCTTCCTCCCTGCCGCACTCCTTTTATCTCAGTACTGAGGTTGAACTCAGGGCCTGGGCACTGTCCCTGAGCTTTTTCACTTAAGGCTTGATGCTCTACCATTTGAGCTTCAGCTCCATTCTTGACTTATTGGTGGTTCATTGAAAGGTAAGTCTCACAGTCTTTCCTGCCTAAGCTGACTTGGAGTCTCTATCCTCAGATCTCAGCCTCCTGAGTAGCTAGGATTACAGGTGTGAGCCATGGCATCGATTTCCATTTTCTTATTACCTGTGGTGTTTGGAGCTTGGATTCTGCACACACTGTGTCTGTGGATGGCTACATTGTAAAGTCTTGATGGTATGTGGCCTTCTGAGGAGGGTTCTAGAACCGGCTGGAGTGCATTGCTAGGATGACCCTTCCTCTCAGGTCTGGGGAGGAGCTTGCAGCCAGCACTCGAGTCCACATGCAAGTCCTCTAGATTGTCATGGCTGTGGGAGTGCACAGTATGGTATTCAATCAGTGTTCCAAAATACCCCAAGATTTATTTTGCTTTATTTTTGTGCCCGTCCTGGGGCTTGAACTTATAGGCACTGTCCCTGTTTGTGCTCAAGGCAATTGCTTTAACACTTGAACCATACCTCCATTCTGGCTTCTCTGGTAGTTAATTAAAGGTAAGAATCTTTAAAGATTGGCTTTGACCTGTGATTCTCAGATCTCAGCCTCCTGAGTACCTAGGATTGCAGGTGTGGGGAGCCACCGGTGCCTGGCTCAACTTGCTTTTTTTTTTTTAATAATCAAAACTTTTTAAGATGAATGTCTGATAGATAAGGTGGGGAGAAACATCTTAGGAGATGTTTGAACAAGTCAGCTGTAATAAACCAAATTTATGATGTTGAACACTTGGTGCTATTGATAACATCAAATTATACAATGAAGGCATTGTAGAGATTTTACTAACTATGTTCTTAGCTTGTAAAAATCAACAGAGAACTTCTTTTTTATATTTGATGGTACTGAGATTTGAACTAGATAAGCACTCGATCATGTGAACCATGCCTCCATTCCTTTTCTTCACTGGTAGGGTCTTGATTTTTTTTTTTTTTCCTCTGTGTGTGTGCTGGTCTTGAGGTTTGAACTCAGGGTCTGGGCACTGTCTTTGAGCTTTTTTGCTCCAGGCTGGTGCTCTTATCATTTGATCCACACCTCCACTTCTAGCTTTTTGCTGGTTAATCAGAGATAAGACAAATCCCTTAGATTTGTCTGCCTGGGTTGGCTTTGAACCAGGATCCTCAGATCCCAGCCTTGTAAGCTGGATTACAGATGTGAGCCACCTGCTCTCCCTGCTCCTCCATCTCTCCTTGCCTCACACTTGCACACCTGCCCCAGGTGCCTGCATCCTCCACCACTGCTCTGGTTCTTTGCTTACTCCATAGTAGCTAGTAGCTTATATCACTCTGCAAGGAAGTTTTCATCCTGTGCTTTCCTGGGGGTAGAGGAAGTGTAGAAGATGCACAGAGCTGGATTCCAAGTATGCTGCAGGTTCTCTGTGAAAACCTGGGAGTGCAAATGCTCGTCTTCTTCCCCTTTTCCCCTTTGCTGACCAGCCGGCCCTTCTGTCTTGCAGGCCTATGATCCTGAGCTCCACCATGGAGGACAGTCATGTGCTGGATCTTACCTACATCACAGAGCGCATCATCGCGGTGTCCTTCCCCTCCACTTGCTCTGAGGAGTCCTACCTACACAGCCTACAGGAGGTCACTCGCATGCTCAAGTCCAAGCATGGGGACAACTATCTGGTGAGTGGGTAGGGCTCACTCTAGCTCCAACATGGCATAGGTCACTCTGGGTAGTGATAGCCATTCCCTCCCTTCTTTTGTGTGTGGGTACTGGGATTTGAGCCATGGGCCTGGATACTGTATTTAGCTTTTTTGCTTAAGACTTTCCTGCAGGGCCTGGCTTCTAACCATGATCCTTAGCTCTCAGCTTCCTGAGTAGCTAGGATTAGCCTGGTTGATAGCTCAGTCTCTAAACACAGGTGGTACATTTGGGTAGAATGTACAAGAACGGCTCCCCCCCACCCCCATACCCCAGTTGGGCCCGTGTGTTTCGTTCCCAGGGTTAGGAGCCCGTGCTGAGTCTCTTGTTTTTTTCTTGTGTGTTGTAATCACAGTTTGGATTACATTGCTGTTTCCTTGCAGTTTCTCTGAAGTTGCCGCTTCATCTGCCTCAAGTTAATCCCACCCTACCCAACAAGGCAGTTATTGTTACCTTATCTGTCTCCAGCTAATCCCACCCTACCCAACAAGGCAGTCATTGTCACCTTATCTGTTTTCCCAGTGACTAGACTGGAGCTGGAACATAATGGGATGCAGCCTCTCTCCAACCTCCTAGCAGCCGACCTGGCGCAGCACTGCTTCCAGAAGTTTCCTCTGTAGGAGCATACTCAGACCCCTTCCTGTCCCTAGATTCCTAGAGGCTCTGCACCTTCTCTGCCCGAGGCTCATCCTAGCTATGGGGCTGGTTGTTGACTTAGGGTAGTGGTGTTCAATCCCTTAGAATAGCCACACTACTCCTCAAGACTCCTTCCTCTCCAGGGCTGCCTTCACATTTGTTTGTTTATTTTATTTGGAGCCCTGACTGGGGCTTGAACTCATGGCCTTCAGCTCTTGCTGGACTTTGTAGATGTAGGCTGGTGCTTTACAACTTGAGCCATGTCTTCACTCTTGGCTTTTTGCTAGTCTCTGGACTTTCCTGCCCTTGCCAGTATTGAAATGTGATCCTCAGATCTGACCCTCCTGAGTAGCTAGGATGACAGGCAAGAGCCATTGGCACAAACCTGCCACTGAGGTAGGCTCTGCAGGACTCCAGCCTTGACAAGCCACATCTGGACTGGCCAGGGCACCCCAAGACTTCTCTTCAAGCCCCCACCTTTGCCATCCATATTAGATCATGTGAAGGACCAGGATCTGGGCACTGGACCTATCTGAGTGTATTTTCTTTTCATGTGGAATTTGTCAGGAACAGAGTTCTCCTTCAGACTGACTGGGGCAGGGATCATTAGCTTGCTTTGGGGACAGGGCCTTTTTTGAAAACTATACAGAAAGACGCCTGTGTGTGTCTTGTTGAGCCATTTCTTTTTCCATATATACTTGACAATTAGATTTTTTTCAACAAAACAGTCCCCACACTGCAGGCATTTAGGCAGGATTTCTTTGGTGATGTATCTTGTCACACTTTAGCGTCCTGGGACCCGGGTGTTTGACAGCTGTGGTTCTGGAAGTGTTTATTGAGTGGGCCCAAAAGACAGCAGAGGCCACGTGAAAAATGAGCTGGGTACCCTTGCAAGGCACACATGGCAGGACTCACAGGGTAGGCTGGCAAAGATTCTCCTCAAGATTTCCCACAGGCCCTATTTCTGGGGTGAGAAGGATGTTCAGTTCCTCTTTGAGGCTTTTTGCTTTCCTTGGTTATTTTAGTACAGATCCACACAGAGCTTGAGTGGAGGCTCTGGTCTGATCAGAAACTCAGGCCTTGCTTTGTATGGGCCTTACCCACATCCCAGAGGGAGACCCTGTGCACCTTGGGGCACTTTATCTTGAACATGACCAGAAGTCCTGCTCAGTGGATAGATACTTTATTATAGTAGAATATTTGCAATCATCACAATGAAACAAAAATAACAGATTTCTGATTTTGTTCTGCTTAACCAAAACAATATAGAATTCTTGTAGGATTTATATGGATTTTATTGTGCCATACTTGTCTATTACTTTTTTTTTTAATTGTTACAATGCATATATCTGTACATTACCTCCACCTTTCCCGAACCTCCCTGCCTTGAAGGTAAACATATTTAAAATGCAGTTCTGATTCCTGTTTTGTCTCTGGGGATGGGTGATTGGTCTAAAAGCTTTCTTTCTCTCTTTTTTAGGTATTAAACCTTTCAGAAAAGAGATATGACCTTGCAAAACTTAACCCAAAGGTATGAATTTTACTCCTCTAAATCCTGAATTTGGTAGAATGTAAATGATAACCTGCTTTGCTTATGCAAAAGTGTTTTGTTAAAAGCTTTTGTGAAATGTGACCGAATAAGAAGTAATAGGAACTGTTCATACCCCCTTGTGCCTCCTTGTTTGTTTTTCTTTAAGTAACCTTATTTTAAGTTGGAATAATTATATAGTTTTCGGAAGCTCTGAAAATAATGGGGACCCCAGAGTATGCTTCATCCAGTTTCCCCCAGGGACAGCAGTTTTTAATGTGAAAATCTGGAATTTGTAAGGCTTCAAAATCAGGAACTTTGTGAGCTTCTGTAATGATGCTATGAGTGGAAAATCCCACCACCGTGAAGCTTGGTTTCCTACATAAACTTTTTTTTTTTTCTATTTGTTTTGCTTGGTTTGGTTTTGCAGTACTGAGATTGAACCCTGGGCTTCCCACAATTGCTGTACCACTCAGCTCTGGCTCTGGCCCTTCTATACCAACATGTTCCTTCGTTGGTTGGAACTCTCTCTCTTTTTTGTTTAATTTTTTTGTTGTTATTATAAAGGTGATATACAGAGGGGCTGTTCTCTCTTTCTTTCTTTCTTTCTTTTTTTCTTTCTTTCTTTCTTTCTTTCTTTCCCTCCTTCTCTCCCTCCCTCCCTCCCTCCCCTTCTTTCTTTTTGTCAGTCATGGGGCTTGAACTCTAGGCCTGGGTGTTATCCCTGAGGCTCTTCAGCTCCAAGGCTATTACTCTACCACTTAAGCTACAGTGCCACTTCCAGCTTTTTTATTTATGTGGTACTGAGGAATGGAACCCAGGGCCTCATGCATGCGAGGCAAGCACTCTACCACTGAGCCACTTTCCCAGCCCGCTGCTGTTTCTTAAGTAAAGAGTACATTTCTTTTTGAACAGCATTACCCCTTCCCTCCTTCTCTCCCAGTTTTTCCCTCCCATTCCCACCCATAAGTTGTATAGTTCATTTTCAACATAGTGTCTAGGAAGTATCACTGTTGCATTTGTTAACCTTCTATTTCTGTGCCCTCCTCCTTTCCAAAGGCAGATAAATGAACAAATAAAGAAAACAAAAATGGTAACAAAGAGAAGAACTCTTGTTTCCATGGTTTGGAGTTCATAGCTGCAACTCTTTCTCTTTTTTTTTTTTGGGTCGTGGGGCCTAAACTCTGGGCCTGAGCGCTGTCCCTCAGCTCTTCAGCTCAAGGCTAGTGCTCTACCACTTGAGCCAGAGCACCACTTCGGGCTTTTTTCTTTTTGCTTATGTGGTGCTGAGGAATCGAACCCAGGGCCTCATGCATGCAAGGCAAGCGCTCTACCATTGAGCCACCTTCCCAGCCCCTGGAACTCTCTTGTAGCCCAAATGGTCCTCAAATTCAAAACCCTTCTGCCTCAGTCTCCAAAGTACTGTGACTACAGGCACGTGTCGTCATACCCACCAAATTATTTTCTTAAAAGGCTGGTTATTTAAATTAGCTTTAGGCTGTGTGGATAAAGTAAATATAAAACAAATGAATCCTAGCCTTATCTGTCATCTTCAACATACTTTATTATGTGCATGCAAACATTCTACCAAACAAACACAGACACAAAACAAGTCTTATCTCTGCTAGATACACCCAGGAGAAGACACCAAAGAGGACAGGAGACATAGCTCAAGTGGTGGCTCATCTGTCTACAAAAAGGGACCAAGGAATTTATGATATGTTATAGTACTTACTTCTGATGGATCGGGCAGTACTTGACTTTTCTTGCTTTCTGGATATTTTCCTAAGTTTCCATCCCATTTCAAACTATGTCCACAGCTTACATTCTGAGATACAGACAGTTCAGCTTTTCCACTGCCTTAAGAAAAGCAAATAAAAGCAAAGCAACACCCCCCTGTGGCCATTGTGGGTTGTAGGGCTATGTTGGGTTGCTCTGAGCTTTGCTCTGAGCACAGCCAACTCAGTGATTTTTCAGTTTGGGGACCCAACTGTAGTCAGGGTTTGAAGATGCTTCCTCCTTCCTGGGAACATTTCTATTTTTCAGGGACATTGTGTCCTGAGCTTTTAGGAGAGGCCTTTGTCCCTGTGACCTGCCTCACAGAATAGGGAAACGCCAGAGTGCCCTGCCCCTTAGGGCAAGATTTGGCAGTGGCTAGGATCAAGGGCCCCTGTGGTAGATCTGGAGGTCCTTGGTCCCTCCCCACTTGATCTTGTACAATGAAACCCTGGGAAAGGCCTTTCTGGAATTTTAACCAACTACAAAAGAGCAGATCAACAGCTAGAAGAATTGTGTGCCTGGGCCGTTATGACTCTTCATTTGTTTCAGGAAAGGAATACAAGACATCTTAAAAAAAATTATTTGAAAGCAAACAAAGCAAAGTTCCTTCCAGAGAAGGCCCCACAGCCAAGTCCTTTTGGAGGGTGGCTTTAGAGTAGGGGTCTCCTCTCATATCTTCCCCCCGGGCCTTGCACTAATGGCTTGTGCATATGTCCCTCAGATCTTTATTTCTCCTCCTCCTCCTCCTTCTTCTTCTTCCTCCCCCCCTCCTCCTCCCCCTCCTCTACCTCCTCCTCCTCCTCCTTTTTTTGCCAGTCCTAGGGCTTGAACTCAGGTCCTGGGCTCTGTCTCTGAGCCTCTCTGTACTTAAGGCTAGTGCTCTACCACTTGAGCCACAGCATGACTTCCGACTTTTTCTGAATAGTTGATTTGAGATAGGAGTCTCATGGACTTCCTGCCCGGGCTGACTTCCAACCATGATCCTCAGATCTTAGCCTCCTGAGTAGCTAGGATTACAGGTGTGAGCCACTGTTACCTGTCTTGGCAACCTTCTTTATTCTCAAGTGAATTATTGTAGGAAATGAAGAAAGTCATCATAAGATTACATTTGAAGGCTCCAGCAGGTAGAAACTGAGGCAGCTCTTCTCTCTCCCTTGTAGATCATGGACGTGGGCTGGCCAGAGCTGCATGCACCACCTCTGGACAAGATGTGCACCATATGTAAGGCACAGGAGTCCTGGCTGAACAGCGACCCGCAGCACGTGGTTGTGATCCACTGCAGGGTGAGTGTCGCCCCCTGCTGTGTGCTCGGGGCTCCTGCTGGGCCTCTGCAGTGTGCAGAACGGAGGAGCGCAGGAGCTGGGGCTCAGGGGTCACTTTCAACTGGTAGGACGTGCTCTGCCTGGGTGTACTACTAGGTTTTCCTATTTGTTCTCAAGGTGGAACAAAAAGGGCCAATGCCATCTGGGGGTACAGATTTATTTCTTCACCCATTACAACATCAGAAGATGAGTAGGTGTTTAAGCAGAGAAAGTAAGTTAATTTGAAAGTGAAAGGCAAGCCAGGAAAAGTGGCCAGAGGAGCCCCAAAGAGTGAAGCTCCAGAGTCCCCTGATTGCTTCATGGCTGGTGCACGTCCTGCCCCTGTTCTTCTTATGGTTGAATGGACACCAAGAGCATTGTGGGACGTTGTGTTTGGGCAGGAGCCCAAGGTGCTGTGAGAACAAGATGTTCCATGACAGGCCATGTGTTAATCTCCACGTGCTGTGTCTGCCACTTCTTATTCCTGTCTACCGAACAGTTCCCTTTTCTTTTCCCCAGACTTTGCATGTATGCAAAGTTTGTCTTTACAATTCATAGGCTTGGGGTCATTGGTGTTGCTGGGAAGTTTTTTAAGCCCTTAGTTTTTTCATCCACTCCATTCCACTTGTTCAAGTTATAATGAAGTTAAAATTAAGTTGTACTAGTGGGCTGGGAAGGTGGCTCAGTGGTAGAGCGCTTGCCTTGCATGCCTGAGGCCCTGGGTTCGATTCCTCAGCACCACATAAGCAAAAAGCCGGAAGTGGCGCTGGGCTAAAGTGGTAGAGCGCTAGCCTTGAGCTGAAGAGCTGAGGGACAGAGCCCAGGCCCAGAGTTCAGGCCCACAACCAGACCCCACCAAAAAAAATTAAGTTGTAGTAGTAATTAAAATGTATGACCCCATGAGTGACCCCCCCCCCCCCAAAATGTGGGGAACAGGAGTGATGTGGTGACCATCAAGAGATCTCCAAAATGCATCCTTTCTCTAAGCAACTCGTCTCTCAGCTGATACAACTTCTCAGGCACATGGAAAGTTTTCCACAGTGCTGTGTTTATTGCTTGACACTAGTTGAGACACCATGTGCTATGAAATCGGGCTCAAATCTGCAATCTCAGCTGCTTGGCACACTATCTAGAGGCCTCTGAGGTTCAAAGCCAGCTGGAACAGAAAAGTTGGTGAGACTCCCCTTCCCCCCCCCCCCCAAATATTTCTTTATTGAGATTATGTGACTACACAACTTTCACAATACTGTGGCATAATTCTACTTAGCTAAAGTAAAAAAACACCTTTTAATCTTCACAATGATAGTCATCATTATCTTAATCTACACTGCTTATGAACTCTATGACCTTTAACAGTGAAACTGTTTATTTTACAAATCAGATGCTATGTACATGTCTTCCCTTTTACTTAGTATCAGCTGTTCCTCCTCATTCTCTCCCTCCCTTCACTGCCCTTGAGTTGCTTGCTTAGTTCGCTTTCATCAATATCCAGTGCAGATGATGGGCCCCTCTGCTGTATTTTTTTCACCCGCTTTCCACTGGTTCTGTGCTCTGCTCCTACCTTTCTTCAGATGTGCATGTGTATACACCATGCCGGGCACCGGTGGCTCATGCCTGTAATCCTAGCTACTCAGGAGGCTGAGATCTGAGGATCTCAGTTCAAAGCCAGCCTGGCAGAAAAGTCCGTGAGACTCTTATCTCCAGTAAACACTCAGAAAACCGGAGGTGGCTCTGTAGCTCAAGTGGTAGAGCACTCTCCTTGAGCTGAAGAGCTGAGGGACAGCACTCAGGCCCAGAGTTCAAGCCCCATAACCACCACCACCACCACCACCAACAACAACAACAAAAGAATACCGTCATCTAAAAATGATAAGACAAATTAAGAAGAGGTCCTTTGTTTCCTTATCTTTGGGGTTCTTTTCAGTATGCCTGTTATTTTATATACAGGTAAAGAGGTGCTTGGATATTACAATTTGATGCTTTTCTCCAGACTCCCATTTACAGATCATTTCCAAAATGCCTGGACTGGAGGCATGGCTCAAGTGGGAGAGCATCAGCCTTGAGCCAGAAAGCTCAGCAAGAGTGAGAGGCCCTGATTTAAACCTCCAGTATTGGCACACACACAACTAAAGATGTTACGAGAGATAAGCCCTCTTGAAACTTGGAATGTCAACACTCACAGAAGTTCATCATCATCTTCACATGGGGGTGGACTTGCTGACATTGGCTGGAATTTGCCTGCTCTGCAGAGTGCATTTCCTTTTGCACATGCCGGGGATGACTGACATAGCTGGGTCCGCCTCCTCAACTCAGGCAGGAGCGGCCCTTCCCCCACTTACCACAGAGGGGCTGCTGGGTGTACTCAAGTTGACCCTCCCTCAGCAGGCACCTGACTGGTGGTTGAGCAGCAATAGGCTAGGCTCCCATTTATTCTGGAAATTTTCTCCTCATGTCATCCCTAGTTTGGGATCTGTGATGACCACTAACCACAGCAAATAGTGTTCTGTGGTTTGGTGACTTTGGTGGAAATCAGACCAATAGATTCAAGTTCAAAAGCTTGCTGCTTGTATTAAAAGATTACAGCGAGAGCAATTCCACCTAACACCTGTTTTCCTACAACCTGTGAGTTCAGAGGGTATGTGAGGTGATGTGCAGAGAGACTCTCTCATCTTAAGTTTGTTTGCTTTGCTTATATTTAATACACTAACTCTAGTTTCTTTTCCTGTCTCCCTGTTGTTTTTGTTTTTGTTTTCTTTTTGTGCTGGTACTGGGACTTGAACTCAGGCCTTCTCTTAGCTTTTTCACTCAAAACTGGCACTATTACCACTTGAGCCACAGCTCCACTTTTGGCTTTTAGGTGGTTAATTGGAGATAAGAGTCACATGGACTTTTTTCTGCCCAGGTGGCTTTGAATCATGGTCATCAGATCTCAGCCTCTTGAGCTGCTAGGATTATAGGTGTCATCCATGGGCTTCCAGCTTCATTAACCTTTACTATTTTCCAAGTCTCTAGTTTCTTTTGCTTAGAGCTTTGCAAGTTCTTTCCTTCCAGTAACTTTCCATCCAAACTTTTTTTTTTTTTTTTTGTAGTTCCTTGAGGTAAAAGTGAGGTTGTTTACTTGAGATTTTTCTTTTCTAGGCATTCATTGCTCTAACTTCCCTGTTAGGACTGCTTTGCTGTGTCTCATCAATTTTAGAATGTTGTTTTCATTTTTGTTTGTCTCTGGATGTTTAAAATGTTTCTCCTTCACAATTTATTGTTGCTCTCCACTGCTGTTCAGAAGCACTTTGTTTAGCTTTCGCATACTTGTGAATTTTCCAAAACTTCTCCTGTTAACTGATGCCTGGTGGTCAGAGAGATGCTTGATATGATTTTAGTCTTCTTACATCTGTTGAGACTTGCTCTGTGATCTAACATAAGATCCACCCTGAAGAATGTTCTGGGCGCACTTGTGAAGAATGTACATTCTGCTGTGGTTGGATGGAATGTTTTCTGTATGTTTGGTAGATCTGTTTGATCCAAAGTACAATTCAGACCTGATGCTTCTTTATTGATTTCCTGTTTGGTTCATCTGTCTGTTGTCAAAAATGGTATATTGATGGCCGTATTTATTTCATTATTTAATTATTTATTTATTTATTTAGATCATAGACTTGAACTCTGGGCCTGGGCACTGTCCCCCAGCTCTTTAGCTCAAGGCTAGTGCTCTACAATTAAGCTACAGTGCCACTTCTGGTTTTCTGAGTGGTTTATTGGAGATAAGAGTTTCATGGCCTTTCCTGCCTGGGCTGGCTTTGAACCACAATCCTCAGATCTCAGTCTCCTGAGTAGCCAGGATTACAGGTTGAGCCCCCATGCCCGGCTTTTGTCTTTGTTTATTTGAGGAAGGGTCTTACTATGTCACTCAGGCTGGCTTTGACCTTGAGCTCCTCCTGCTCAGCCTCTTGACTTGGTCTCCACCATTGCTTTCTACCTCTTAGTGTTTGTTTTCTTGTGGCTTGCATGCATAGGAAGAGTAGGATTTGAACTCAGGGCCTCATGCTTGCTTGGCTGGCACTCTACTAATTGAGCAACACTTCTATCTTCTAACATTTACTTTACATACATCTAATGACTGCTGCATAAGTGGAAGGTTAAAGGTGTCAGTGGAGAATGCCACCCCATAGTTCCTGGCTTTTGACTGATAGGCTGTTTTAGGTGAATTTTTCTTCTTAAAACAAATTGTTTCATGCAAGAAACAGGTTGGTAGCTTTATGTACTACAATTCCTGTGTCATGGATTAGCCAAGTGCAGCGGAAAGGATGTTCCTTTGTGGATGTTGACGAATTTGATCAGTTACTCCTCTTTGAGAATACAATTAGGGAGCAGGGGAGCAGCTCAATGCTTAGCTTCTCACACGCACAAGGCCCAGATTCCACCCAAGCATTGCTAGGGGGAGGGAGGAAAGAGTAGTTAGGAAGTTGCTAGTTGGTTTTGTGACTCTCGATCAGGGTTTGGCAAACTCTTCTTAAAAGCCAAGTAATCTTTGCAGGCCATGTGGTTTTGCCAAAATTTTTCACACCTGTTGTTGCTTTTGTGGGGTAGAGTATAGTGCATGTTTGTGTGTGTGTGTGTGTGTGTGTGTGTGTGTGTGTGTGTGTAATGAGGCTAGCCAGAGTCCAAGCAGACTTGAAGGAGGGTATTGACATAAAAATTTTGTGTAATGTTTATGTATCTCAGAATCTGCTTTCCATATCTCAGAATCTGAATTTTTAGTTTACCAATTTGTAGGGTAAGAACTGGTGGTGGTTGTAGCTGGCTTGCAAGCTGTGACTTTTCTGTAGTGAGTCACCACAGAATGCTTTAGAAGGCATGGTCTATTTGTGATTCTGATGCTAGCCTACTGTGTAGTTTCCCCTTCTGCTGGTGGTGATGTTGGTTCTGTGAGGGGCTATACCTGTTCGTGGTTATGGGTTAAGGGATTTCCATTTCCATGAAGACCTGCCTGGGACAGGATTCCTGTACTGGCAGGGGAGGGTGGGAAGATTGGGGAGGGCAGCCCCTTGGAGCTTGGTGCATTGGAGTACTGGTCTTGCCACTCTTGTCACTGTTACCCCCAAGGCAGGCATTCCTTTTTCCCTTGGGTAATTAAGTCATGCTAATTACTGCTGTTTCTGGCACTCTGCAGTAGCCTAATTGGGAGGTGGTGAAATGAAGGGTTCTTTGTGCCTTCTGGGGCTTCACAGACGCCCCAATTAACAGCACCTGCTCTTGCTAGGGGCCCCTGGCCTGCAGGTTCTCTACCATGGAAGTTCCGCTTGTACTGGGGCTCACACTCCAGTTTCAGGGAGCCGGAGGGGTGGATGCAGGCTCCTCTGGCATTCTGTTCATGGTTGAATTGTCTGTCTGCCTCTAGACAACATGGGTGCAACTTTTGTCTCTTTCAGGGCGGGAAAGGACGCATTGGAGTGGTCATATCTTCCTACATGCACTTCACCAATGTCTCAGCCAGGTAGGATGCACACAGGGCCTGGCTCTCTTGGGGTGGTGGAAGCTGAGACTGGACAGGGTTGGGGGTGGTTTTCCTCCTGGATGTTCCCCTGTCCCTCAGTTACTGCTCTGTGTCTCATCCCCAGATCCTAGGTTTATACTGGAGATAATGGCATCTTTTGATTTGCCCTACTATGTGTGTTGATAAGAACTTTCCAGAAAGGAAAAAAAAAAGTAAGCTCAGGCAGTTATGAAGTAGATTGGATACTATTACTGATGACAAAAACAGAGTTCTCGCTTGCCGGTAATCCTAGCCACTCAGGAGGCTGAGATCTGTGGATCACAGTTTGAAGCCAGCTCAGGGCAAGAAAGTCTGTGAGACTTTTTTTTTTTTTTGGTCAATTGTGGGGCTTGGGCTCTGGGCCTGGGCACTGTCCCTCAGCTCTTCAGCTCAAGGCTAGCACTCTACCACTTGAGCCAGCACCACTTCTGGCTTTTTCTGCTTATGTGGTGCTGAGGAATCGAACTCAGGGCCTCATGCATGTGAGGCAAGCAGTCTACCACTGAGCCACCTTCCCAGCCCCTCTGTGAGGCTCTTACCTTCAGTGAACCACTGAAAGCCAGGAGTGGAGCTGTGGCTCCACAGCTGTGGAGCTTTGAGAGAAAAAGCTTACAGACAGTGCCCAGGCCTTGAGTTCATGGCCCAGGACCAACACACACACAAAGAACAGAGTTGTCTCTGAACATCACACCCCAATAATGGGTGACATCAGTTTTTTCATGCTGTAGCACTGAATGTCTGCCTATTCTCCCAGTGAACCTGTGAGGCGGTTATTACCATTCCTGTGGTGCAGATAGGGAAACTGAGGCTCAGATGTTGGTAGATCCTTATGATCTTATGCCCTTGAATAGACAGAGAGGGAAGCCAGGATTGGCTCAGTTCTTAGGCGGTGAGAAGTAATGCTGAGAACTTCTGAGGAGCCACCTGCCTCCCCTCAGCTGGGCTCTGAGACGGCATAAGGACCTCGGTCTTAGTCCAGTCTTCCTGCCTTGGGGAGCCAAGATCTATTCCACTCAAACAGAAATTTCACTTAGAAAACAACTTCCTTGGGTTCTTCAGTGGTAGCTTGATTGCTTCGCATAGTAAGCTCAAAGATCTGGCTTTGATCCCCAGGACAACAACACCAAAAAAAAGAAAAGAAAAGAAAATACCACCCCTCCCAGGTCTGCCTTGGCACCCTCCCCACTTCTCTATGGCAGCTTTGTGAGTGTGAGCCGTGGCACCCGAGCAAATGGAAGCCTGTTCATCCTACCTCACAGACCTTCTCTGCAGCGCTGAGGGAAAATTGACTTTTGGAATGTTTTCTCTGGAAACAAATTGGGGAGCTGGTGGTGCCTGCCAGGGAGGAAACGCAACCCCCCACCCCAGTGAAAATTAGAGCCCACTCCCCCCTTGCTGGGTGAGAGCAAGCATTGTGTGTGTGCCAGACACATTGAGATTCCTGGAGACAGTGACCCCTCAGTTCTGCCAAAGGCATAACCACATGCAGCCTGGCTGATTCTGTACAGAGACCACCCGAGCATTTCTGTCCACTCCCAGAATGCAGTTCTGCCTGAACTGTGGGCAGAGCTGCAGCTGGGGAAACTCAGAGGAGAAGAACTTGACTCATTTACATCATGTCCCTGGAACTCTGTCTGGAAACCCCATTTTTTCCCTCCAGTTGCACGTGTCAGGAAGTATGCATGCATCTCTGAGCCTTAGTCCCTGGATGGTGGGCATTAGAGCCAGGCCTCTCTTGAGTGCTCTCTGGCAGCTCCCTGTAGGACAACTTGGGTACCAGCAGTCATTGATGCTGGTGCTTTGAGGGCTAGGTGCCATTGTAAGTGCTTTTCAGCTCAATGGACAGACGTTCTTGTGCTGTGTCTCCTGCTGGCCAGGTTTCTGTTTTGTGGATATTGTATCATTCTTTTAAGCACTTGACAATTTGGCAATCTGGGTTGCTACAGTTTTTCTTTAAAATTTAAGTTGCTTCCTATTATTCTCTTCTTCAGGGCTTGTCATGTTGAACCTATTCTTAGATCTACTCTGTGTGTGTGTATGTGTGTGTGTTTGCATGTGTGCATACATGTGGTGTGTTCTATTACTTGAGCCACTCCCCTGGCACTTTCTGAGTCAGTTATTTTTCAGATAGGGTCTTGTGTTTGCCTGGGGCAGGTAGGCCTCCAGCATAATTATTGGCTTAAATGAGGTCTTGCTCACTTCCTGTTTAAGCCTTTATCATAAGCTGTCAACAGCGCAAAGAAAGAACTAATATTAATACCAATGATGCTATTCAAGGTAAACACTGGCCATAAGGATGTGTCAGCATTAAAGTAACCCAGTGAATTTTGGAAAAGAGAGCACAGTCAATGGGTGGACATGTAAATGCACATCTCATCTTAAAAGATACAGTGTGTGCGCTAAGTGTGTAAAACACCGCTGCCTAATCGGCTCCGTCCATTTGTGCCAAGCCCCTAGTTCAGACACATCCACACAGCAAGTTAGCCACGTAGCTTTCTCTGAAAGGCAATCACATTCATTTAGAATATTTCCCCTTTGTCCTTCTGCCTATGTCTGCTGTTTTTGGGATCTTTGTTGTCATGCCCCACAATTGCTGAATGGATCATGTTTCTGAAGAGGCTCTCCTGCCTATCAGATTTTCCAAAAAGCTTTTGGCTCACACAGGTCTGAGTTACTAAGTCTTAAATGCAATCACATTCCACCGCTTACTCTGAAAGCCAGTAATGCTCTGCAATCAGATTTCTAGAAGATTCTGTGGACACTGCATGTGGCTGAGTGGAGGTGGAGTTGAAGGGCAGATGGGCCGTTGGAAGGCAAGTTACCTTCCATAGAGCCATTTGAGCCATTCAGCCTTTGAAGCTACCCATCCTGAACCATGTCCTGCCTGTTCCTGGCAGTGGCTCACAGGTCCGAATCACGAGGTGGGCATGGATGGGCATGTTTGTAAGCACGGATGGGCATGCTCCAAATTTGCTCCCTATGTCCTCTTGGTCCTGAGGGACCAAGGATGAGTTGGGGGACTGGTGTAGGGGCGCAGCTGGTTGCTATGAATAGCCATGGGCTATGTCCTGTCCTGTCTTAGCCCTGACTCCAGACAGGCCGGGATGCTACAGACTTAAACATTTTCTCTCTTTCTCTCTCCCAACCCCCTCTATTCCCAGTGCTGACCAAGCCCTGGATAGATTTGCAATGAAGAAGTTTTATGATGATAAAGTTTCAGCTTTAATGCAGCCTTCCCAGAAGCGGTATGTATCTGTCCTTTGGATAAAAGGAGGGGAAAAGTGAATGGGATTTTACCTTTAAACAAATGAAGACTGAAGGCTGAGTGCTCTGTCTACCCTGCTTCCCATCCTCACACAACACAACCTTTGGGTGATGCTAAAGAATATGAGGCTGAGATCTGAGGATCACGCTTTGAAGCCAGCCTGGGAGGGAAAGGTCGTGAGACTTACCAGAAAATGGGTAGTGGCACTGTGGCCCAAAGTGGTAGAGTGCAAACCTTGAGCAAAAAGAGCTCAGTGACTGCCCAGGCCTGGAGTTCAAGCCCCATGACTGACACTCCTCCCACCAAAAAAAAAAAAAAATGAGGGGAGGGAGCTGGTCACACCAGAAGTGAGGAATGAGCCATCCAGCATCTAGAATGGTTACCTGCCTTACAGGTGACCCTCTTCTCATTCCATTCAGTCCTCTGAATGGAGTGAGTGAGTTTTGATTTCCATGGTTCTGGAACTTCTTTTTGCAGAGATCAATGAATTTGATCAGAGGATAGAGGGTGGATGCTTCAGGCCTTATAGTTTGATATTTTTGTTACCACAGGCAGTATGGAAATGGGTGGATGTGGTTGTGTTCTAATAAAACTTTATTGACATAAAGTTTATTGACATAAAAAAACTTTATTGTCATCATAGGCCTCCTGTACTATAGCAGCTCTCCCTGAAGCTAAGGAGAGTTTTTCTTTTTTCAGGGAATATTGCTTGAAGTGGCCCCTGGAATTGTTGGGAGGGGGGCGATAATAGCCAGGTAGTAGCAGAATTTTCTCCTGTACTGCCTGCCCTTCTGAGCTGAGGTGATAGGCAGTAGGAAAGTACTTTCTCCCTCTGTGCCTTTCCTTTGCATACATGGAGCCAAGCACAGAGCTCACATCCCTGCGGTTTTATTTTAAGCCAAACATTAGAGAATTGACCCAAGAATTGCTCAGATAGTTGCAAAACAGTTTCCATCTTGGGCATGGGATAATTGTCCTCCTGACCCTTTTGTGTGAGGAGTTTGGATCCTCCACACCTGAAGAGTTCAGAGACAGTGCCCAGGCTCAGAGTTCAAGCCCCACAGCCCCCTCCCCCCCCAAAAAAAAATCTAGTTCTAGAATATTCATAATACCAACAATTGCATATTCTCAAGTCATATGAAATAGCAGAGGAGTTTTACAGAACCTCTAAGTAGATGGAAGCATCTTCTGTGTGTGTGTGCACGTGTGTGCCGCATGCACATATGTGTATGTGTTAGTACTGGGGCTTAGATTCAGGGCCAGGTCACTGTCCTTAAGCTTTTTTGATCAATGGGGGTGCTAGAGTACCACTTGAACCACATCTCTATTTCCATCTTTTTGGTGGTTAATTAGAGATAAGAGTCTCATGGACTTTCCTGCTCAGGCTGGCTTCAAACTGATCTCCAGATCTCAGCCTTCTGAGTAGCTAGAATTAAAGGCATGAGCTACCAGTACCTTACCTATCCATATACTTTTTTTTTTCCTTGGGTCTGGTCGTGGGGCCTGAACTCTGGGCCTGGGCGCTGTCCTTCAGCTCTTCAGCTTAAGGCTAACGCTGTACCACTTGAGCCACAGTGCCACTTCCAGCTTTTTTCTTTTTGCTTGTGTGGTGTTGAGGATTCGAACCCAGGGCCTCATGCATGCAAGGCAAGCGCTCTACCACTGAGCCACCTTCCCAGCCCCACTCCATATACTTTTTAAACCATCTTCCAGTTATTTCCTGCAGTGTAACTGTTACCAGCACACATACACACATATACACACATGCATACACGCACACGCACGCATGCACGCATGTATGCACACATTTCTTTCTCTAATATTTTTGTTCTGAGGTTGGTGGAATTTGTGATGTAGCAACTTCTAGACTCATAGGGTTACCTGTGATTGTTTCTGCATAGCTTATGCTGTGAACTGAATCTGCAGACAGTTGGGAAGGTGGTGACTGCAGAGCCAGTTTCAGAGGACAGTCTGGCCCTGGTGGCCTCGTTCCTCCTGTGTAACCAGCCATCAGTGAACAGGTGGCTCTCCTTTGAGAGGAAACAGTTCTGCCATCACCCTGCTACTCCTCCTTGGAAGAGACCACTCTGTGCAGTGTGATAAGTGGACCACAGTCCCAGAGGGCACAGAGGGAGACTTGCTGTCTAAGCCTGGGACAGGAGCTAGTGGCCTCTGTCCCAGCCTCCACATCCTAAGGTGGCGTGAGGCTTACCTCAGGGCATGAGGATTGCCTGGCTCTACCCCCAGGTGACTCCTCAGCCTCCTGAGTCTCCGAATGCTTAGTGTTTGTACAGAACCATCAGCAGCCCTTTGTCTACGCCGATCTCTTGGTCTGGGTGCACACTGGTCCTGAGCAGACACAGAGCACAAAGGGCTGTCTTACCTGCTGCTCCCTGCAGACCTCCTGCCCATACCTAGTCCAGGTGCCCAGGGGATTCTCATGGCCAAGATTGACCTTGGATGTGCATTTCCCATAGTTGAGGGCCTGCCAGTGCTGAAGGGAGGGAAGAATGTCCTACTAGGGGTGACTCCGGTGTTCCATGCAGGCTCTTCCAATTCCATTCCCTTTGCTCATGGCCGCTGAGCCAGATAGCCAAAAGTTCCTCAGTATGAGACTTAGATGACGAAAGTAGACAGGTTCCCATTTCTGTATGTGTGTACAATGGGGGTGAGGAGCTTGGAGCCAAGCTCCAAAGCACACCACAGGGAAAGCCCAAAAGGAGCTGGGAGGAGGCCAAGCTGCCATAGGCTGCTAATCTGGCCTTCTGGAGGCATAGGCTCCTGTGTGAATTTTATGGTTCCAAAAGAGAAGAGCAATTTGCTGCCACAAAGGCCAAAACATCCTGTTTTTTTTTTTTTCTGCGAGTTATACTACAATTAAACAGATGTACTTCTCTATAAAGATTTTTTTTTTAGAGCATTGACTATAAGTTGGTCTCTCTCCCTCTGTCTTGTCTCTCATCTCTTTCTCTTTGTTTCTCTGACAGTATTGGAAATTGAACTTGGGTCTTCACACTGGTTAGGCAAGAGCTCTGCCACTTAAACCATACCCCATCCTTTTTGTTTTTTAAATTTGGTCTTCAGATAGGATCTCGTGCTTGTGCCTGGAATGGGCCTTGGATCAGGATATTTTGATCTCCACTTCCTAAGAGGCTGGGATTACTGACATGTGCTACCACGTGTGGTATTAGCCATTTTGAATATATGTACTAGCTATTTCCTATTGCTTAGTTAGCTTTGTCTGCAGATTCAGCTTCTTGGATCTTAACTGGGTCTGCACATTAGTGCATGTTCATGTAGGTAAGCTTGGGGCTGTGACTACGTCCATCCTGAAAGGTGATGGTTCTAACCTCCCTCCGGGATGTGTTCTGGTGTCTGTTGCTTCCTGTGTAGGGCTCTTGTCAGTCTCAGAGATGCATACGTGGTGAATGGATTTGGTGTTTTGGAATCTGGGTCCCTGCCCCCTTTAAAGACTCTGGGGGAGGAAGATAATGAAGCATCTAGGAGCTGGGTGCTGGTGGCTCACGCCTGTAATCCTAGCTACTCAGGAAGCTGAGATCTGAGGATTGCGGTTCAAAGCCGGCCTGGGCTGGAAAGTTTGTGAGACTCTTATTCTCCAATAAACCACCAGAAAGCCAGAAGTGGCGCTGTGACTCAAGAAGTAGAGCACTATCCTTGAGCTGAAGAGCTGAGAGACAGCGCCCAGGCCCAGAGTTCAAGCCCCATGACTGACCAAAAAAAAAAAAAAGGCAGCATCTAGGCTTTGATGGGGGTTGTACCTGGGGAACGGGGCCCATCCTGAGTGACCTGGGTGTAGAGGCTGGCTCTGGCTCCCCAGTGCACAGGAAATGAGGGAAAAGCACAGGGAGCTGAGAGTGTGATCTGGATCTAAATGTGTTCCACCCCTGTTGCCACATAACACCTCATGAGCACCTGTGACCAAGTAATCCTGGTATAAACTTTCCTTTTGGAAGGGTTCATCTCATCTGTGGAGGCATGAGGTCCGAGTCTGAAATTCAGAGAGGAAAATTCCCATACTCCCTGCCATGGTTCCCCTGAGTGGTTCAGGCTTGGAGGCAGGATATAAAGACAGGGGACAGCACAGGAGGGGATGTGAGATACAGCAAGAGCCCTAGGGTCTTGGAGGTTAAAGAGCCTCTTGGCTGGAGCATAGGGTGGAGTGGTTTACAGCTGTTTCTCACACAGCAGGGCCTGGGTCCCAGGTGCTGGCCTTGCCAGAATGAGTAGAGGAAGAGGCTTCTGTGGGCACCTGCGGATGGGACATGTGTCCCTTAAAAGTGTGGATGGAGCCCCTGCCAGGGTGTGAGTTGGGAGACATGATTTGTGTGTAGTGGACAGGGTGACCTACGCGGCCCCTCCAGCTTGCTTTGGTCTCAGCGGTGGGAGTTGTGGCTGGACGCTGATCACTCCCTTCCTGCAGGTACGTGCAGTTTCTCAGCGGGCTCCTGTCCGGCTCTGTGAAGATGAATGCCTCTCCCCTGTTCCTGCATTTTGTCATCCTGCATGGTGCCCCAAGCTTCGACACAGGGGGAGGTGAGTGGCCTTCATGCCTGGTGTCTGCCAAATTCTAGCCCAACCCAGCCCAGCGGGGGCTGATCCTGGTCCCCAGGGCTGAAAACAAGCTTTCCATTCCTGTCTGCAATGCCTATCTCTGTGTCTGGGCTCCCAGGCCATAGACATGGCAGCCCTTCTCCATGTGCATGGAGCTCAGGCTTGATGGGACCCCACTAAGCAGTTGAACAGATAAGGAGCAGGCAACCAGCAAAGGGACCCCAGACACACCCAGGACAGGGACTCCAGAAGGCCTGTGCTGTCCTGGGTCATCTATGCACTTGGTTCCAGGTTCTTCTGTGTGACCCACCATGACAAGGCCTTAGAGCTCAACCTCCTTCCTCTTTAGATTGATGCCATGAGGAAGCCCATAGTGTAGGGATGGGGTCAAGACCCTGTTCCCCTGGTTCCATCCAGATAGGTGTGTGTTCTCGCTCTCTGTATTTCTCTTTCTCTGTCTTTCTGACCCTCTCTCCCTCCTGTATAGAGTTGCTCTCTAGATGAAGGTCTGTGAGCTGGGCTTGCGGGGGGCGGGTGGGGGAGTAGTGATTTGATTTTTACAGGGGTATTGGTCTCTTTCAGCATGCCGGCCCTTCCTGAAGCTCTACCAGGCCATGCAGCCTGTGTACACGTCGGGAATCTAGTAAGTGCCCAAGTGTGGTCTGTGGATGGTTCAGGGATGATGGTGCATGGGCTGTGGAGGATGCCAGGGGCACAAGCCCTAGGGTAGCTCTGCCCCCGGCTCACACAGGTGTCCCATGGCTGCTGCTCTAGTGGCCCTGGATCCTCCAGGGAGGGAGGGCCATTGCTGATTGGCAGTGGAGATACTGGAAAGGGTTTCCTTCTGGATTTTATTTCTCTCTCCTTTGCATTTTAGATGAAGGAGGCATACATACTCTCAGATTTGTCTGAGTTTTTGTTCTATGTGATTTGTGAGCATGAATGGAAAATGAGTAATAAAGAGAACCAGTGTTCTACCCTCAAAAAAGAGCCATTATCCCATCACTGGGTTCGAACTGGACCCTGTGCACATGGATGCCATCAGCCCCCAGCTCTAGCTCCTCTGTCTGAGCTATGTCAGTCTCTGCTGGGGCCTTCCAGTCAGTCTCAACACTTGCTGATGCTGTCAGGACCCACCCTGGCCCAGGAAGTTTCTGAACCTTCTCATCTCATCTCCACTGGGTAGATTCTCTGAAAGGAGATTCTTGGACAAGGGGAATGTTGGGCCTAATTTAGGAGTTTTCAAATGTGTGGTTCGTTTTTCAACATGTCTTCTGCCTATGAAATCGTGGCATTGCCTAACAATCTACCTTCTTGTTATCCCAAAGCAATGTTGGCCCAGAAAACCCAAGCAGGATCTGCATGGTCATTGAGCCAGCCCAGCTGCTGAAGGGGGACATCATGGTGAGTGCCCATGTCTGCAGCCATGCTCGCCTTCCAGTAAATGGTGACGTTGAAGGAAAGAGCGATTGTATCTTAGAACTGTAACACCCTCTCCCTCCCGCCCCGCCCCCCCCCCCCCCCCCCCCCCCCCCCACTCACAGAGAAAAGACAACCCTGCAGGCATAAGAAAAGTACCTAGCTTTTCATTTCAAGGCCTTTGGTTAGTTTTGGAGTAAAAGTATTTTAATTAAAGGAGAAGGAAAAAAAAAACCCACTGTTCTTGACTATCAGTTATTATAGAGACACTGGATATATGTAAACTTGAAAATAACATCCTAACTCTGCCACTACCTTGGTGAGCTTTCCTGGTTCCTGACCTAATTTGCAATTGTCACATGACTGTCAGCCTCCCAGAGTGCCACTGGAAAACTAAAATACGTGTTTAGCATTAGGAGCCAAGTACAAAAGGTGTTGTTACCACTTGGCTATGATTACAACAGTGATTTCTTTAGATAATATTGTTTCTTGGGTGTGTTAGTTCTTAGAGAAGGAGACTTACTTTCTTCTTAATCTGTCTTGAATAAAGAAGAATTCATACATGTAAAATAATTTTAGGAAAGGTTTATTTTATTTTTTTTTTTTTGGTGCCAGTACTGGGACTTGAACTCAGGGCTTAGGTGTTAGTTATCCTTAGCTTTTTCACTCAAGGCTGATGCTCTGCCGCTAGCACCATAACTACCTTTTTGGCTTTTTGCTGGTTAATTGGAGACCAGAGTCTCACAGACTTTTGTGCTGGGGCTGGCTTCAAACAGGGATCCTCATATCTCAGCCTCTTAAGTCCGGAAAGATTTTGGACGTGAGCCACCAGTGCCCAGCACACATTTAGTTTTGTGAGGATCAAGTGAGTGAGCTCACATAAATCTAGAACAGGACACCCAGAAGTTCAAGGCCATGTCATATGGCCCTGAAGCATGGCAATCCATCATCACCACCAGAGAGACCATGACTCAGCCTTGGGCAGCCATCGCCTCCTCCTGCCGGGTGAGACTCTGGCAGTGTTCCCCCACATTCTTGCTCACATCATTCTGCATTCCAGCCCTGTCCTGCCCTGTAGTGGGCCCCTCAGCCTGAGTACATGAAATAGCCTGTGAGCCTGGCTGTGGCCCCTGGAATGTGGGGGCCTCTTTAGAGTTGGAGTGAGTGGGGGTGGAGCTGGAGAGGAGACGAGCCAGGAGTGGGTGAAGGAGAGCTTCTCAGATAGACACCCTAAACTTGGCTAGGGGCATCTGGGAGCTCACGGAGCCAGCTGCTGCTCAAGATCGGGAAAGCTCAGTTGCTGCTGTGTGTTGCAGCTGGTTTTGTCCCGGTAACAGATGAGGCCTCCTCAGAGGCACCCGAGGCTATGGGAAAGGCAGCCCCCATCGCGAGTCACTGACCAGAAGCTCTTCCTAAGTATTACGACCTCTTTGGGCTAAAGAGCCCATTTGCCTGAATTCAGTAACTGCTCTGGTCCTTGGCAGGAAGTCTGGATCAATGATATTTGAATCTTCTCCTCCCAAATTAGTTTCTAACTTCAACTTTTTTTGTTTTGTTTCAGTACAAGGGTTTGAACTCATGGCCTAGGTGTTGTCTCTGGGTTTGCTCAAGGCTAGCACTCTGCGCAGCTCCATTTCCGGCATTTTGGTGGTTAATTGGAGATAAAGGGTCTCTCACATTTTCCTGTCCTGGCTGTCTTCCAAGTCTTGAGCCTCAGCTCTCAGCCTCCTGAGTAGCTAGGATTACAGGCATGAGCCACTGATGCCTGGCTCTCATTTGAACTTACGAAAGTCCAGTTGGTACTGAGGAGAGACCCTGTGAGGCCATGGATGGGAGGGACATCCCAGTGAGCTTCTGTTTTCTCCTCTGCTAGGAGTGAGGCACTGAGTTAGGATTGGGATTTGAGGGCAGTTGTGGGTGGGGCTAGGTGGGTATCCCTCTTCACACCATCTGAGGTCTCTGAGGTCCTTGTGTGGGGCCTGTATGCCACTTTCAGGCCCCGCGTGCCATTTTCTAGTTGTCATGGGAGGGGGCAGGAGCCCATTTAGAATGGAACGCCATGAGTGCAGTTCTGCCTTGGAGGGAGCAGCAGTACAATGTGGAGTGCTTTAGGAGCAGGAAGTGGGAGTTGCTGGCAGTTCCAGATGATCCCAGATGTGAGTTCTTTGAGGCACAGAGAGGGGTATGCAGGCCAAGTATGGGCGTCTTGTGAGTGAGTGTCATGCGTGAGTTGATGTTGAGCCTCGTGCAGATTTTGTCTCAGGAAGAAAGGACCGTGTTGGTATGGGTATTAGTACACACAGGGTCCCACCCATTCCTTTTTATGGTGATCTTCAAAGCTAGCTTAGTTCTACGTAGGCTGCTTTTATCAAATGCCATAGACTGGGGAGTTTGTAAGGGACAGCTTGTTCCTCATTGTTCTAAGGCCAGAAGTCTGAATCTAATGAGGATCTACTCTGATTGAGAGGGCATCTTCCCTGTGTCCCCACGTGGTGGTGGAGGGCCTTTCTTGTGGGGTGCTAGTTCTATTTATGAAAGTCTATCCTCCTGACCTAGTCACTACCCAAGGCCGCTACCTCCTAATGCTGTCACCCTGGGGCTGAAGATTTTAGCATCTGGACTTGAGGAATACGCCTTTCAGTCTCCAGCAGTGCCTGTCAATCTCCTCTGTGCTCTTTCCTTGCCTAACTTGGCTGAGTCCTTTCTGGCTCTTCTCTGTGCCTCTTTGCTTCTGGTTTAATCAGCACTTGGCCTTTCTTTGTCCTCTTTCTCTATCTGCCGTAGGCTCATGAAAGGACAGTTTGTATCTAATGTCCCCTGCCTGCTGTTTGGCCCAGTTTCCTTTCATCTGCTAACAGTGGCTTGATCCTCTAACTGGCCTGTGGCCCTCACCTTGAGCCCCATCTCCAGCCCCGAGACCATTGGTCATTTTTCCCAGCTGCACCTGAACTAATATTGTCCACACTGTCATCCTCTGACCTTGTCTGGCTCTCAGCTGCCCTGTCTTTGCTTGCTTCAGACTCTTATATCCTCAGCCACTGAGTTCTACCCACTGCCTTTGCCACCCTCACTTAACCCTGTCACTCTCTCGCCGTTTTTTGAGACTCCTTGCCCACCTAAACTCGAAACTTGAACTTCCTTCATCTCTGATACCCCACTAGCCCAAATCTCAGCTGTGCAGATTTGTCACTCCATGAATCATGCCTCTTATGGCCTCTGTAATGGCGGGGCTTGATTCAATGCTTTCCTTCATCCAAGGTCAAGGTCAAGGTCAAAGGAAGAGATGGATGCTCTGAGAGACCTGAGAAACACAAGAAGAGAGGAATGGTTGTTACTTGGACTCAGGGCTGGTCCCTACTCTGTCCATAATTGCCATGATCACCTTCTGCATCCAGGACCACCTTGTAGCTGAGTAGACAATTAACTAGCTAGGGCCACATTCTCAGCCAGTTAGCCATGCCGGTTTCTTGGAAGAATGTTTATGTTAGCCAGCCTTATGCCAGGGATATTACAGGCCTCCCCGTTGAGCACCCGCTGTTCAGTGGCCATATGGCTGTGATTTGGTGGCAGAGCCCAGGCCTGTCCACAGAGAAGCAGAAACCAGACCTGTTGGTAGAACTGGGGAGCCAAAGGTTTGGAGTTTGGGCATAGGGTGGAGCCAGGTGTCTCTGGAGGTGAATTCATGCCACAGGGCACCTCATCCATGGATGGCTTGTTTCCATTAGAAATGCTGGCAAATGGGAGATTGTAGATCTTTGCACAGGAGATAATAGCTTCTGATAAGATAATTTCCTTCCTGCACCCAGTTTCATTCCTCGCATGGAATATTTTTAGGATTGCATTATGGTTTGATTTATGCTTCCTGTGTTTGTGGTTCCGTTTTGTCCACTCTGTGTTTGCTCTCTGCAGTGTTATCAGATGGGAGCTGGGTGATGTGGGTGACAGCTGAGGGGGCATGTTTCCATCGTAGAGGGGCACGTTTCCAGGTACCCTTCTTAGATGTGGCCAAGAGGTTTAGTCTTGATCTTGGAAAACTTAAATGCACTTTTAACCCATTGTATTGTTTTAGACTGCTTAATGTTGAGGCACATTACTACAACATTACTCTGTGTGTGTGTGTGCGTGTGTGTGCGCGCGTGCACGCACGCGCGCTACTGGGACTTGAACTCAGGGCTTTGTCCTTCCTCTTGGCTTTTTTGCTCAAGACTGCTGCTCTGCCATTTGTGCCACAATTCCAATGTTTGCTGTTTGCCAGCTAATTATATATAATAGTCTCACAGATTTGTCTGCCTAGGCTGGCTATAAACCATGATCCTCAGATTTTAGCCTCCTGAGTAGCTGGGATTACAGGCATGAATCACCAGTGCTCAGCTCATACTGGGCTTCTTAAACCATAAGGTTTTATTTTCTCATAGTTTTGGGAGCTGGAAGTTCTAGGTCAAGGTATCAGAAAGTAGGTTTCCCCATAGACCTTCCGTTGTGCTTGTGGATGCCAGTCCCTTCCCCTCTCCACGACCTACCCTCTGTCTCTGAGTCCTAAGGACAGCAGTTATAATTCCCAGGGACCCATGCCAATGGCCTATGTCAACTAAAAGTGCTTTATAAAAATCTTGTTTCCTGAGCCTTTCTACTTATAAGTCTAGGAAGACAAAATTCAGCCATATGCCTCTGCTCCTTAACTGAGCTATTCTAGAATGCTTAGACAGGGACCTAGTGTTGTTGGTTACCTGGCTACTTTAGCTATGGTTTGTTACCAGCAAGTACTGATGAGCAAATATCCAAAACCTGTGGCCTGTGGGGTTTGGATATGTAGGGACACACTCAGGCCCAGCTCCCTGAATCGAGGTTCTAGTAGTTTAACAGATGAGCAGGGACATAACTCACACATAAAGAACTGAATGTGGGGCAAAAGAGACCCTTTCCTGCAGGCTGTACCGGGAGCGGCTTCAGGGCAGAGCTGGCAGCTGTGATTCAGAGGAAAGCCA